CCCCAATGTTTTTGGAACTTAGGTTCAGTTGCTCCCTTAGAAAAAAATTAAAATATGAATAGTAAATAAAGCCATTCCTAGTTGTAAATGGGGGCTGATTCCCCCTTTTTGTTTTAAACGTTGTTCTTTAAGACTGCTTGTCCCTGAGGGTTGTTAAGGGATTTCTGTAGTATGTTTGATGTGCCATCTATTGAAAAATTCTGCCATGGAATTACTGGCAAAGCAAGGGCCGTTATCAGTCTTAACCTGTGTGGGTAATCCTAGGGTTTTGAAACTTTGGAGGAAATGTGTTTGAGCATGTTTGGTCTTTTCCTCCTGTATGTGCAGTGATGCAAACAGGCCCCTGAATAAGTGTCTGTGGAGACAAAAACATACTTCTGTTTGCCAAAAGTTGGAAAATGAGTAGTATCAGTTTGCAGAGGTTATGGCACTGTAGGTCTCTAGGGTTAACTCCTGACGGCTGTAGAGGGGGAACTTTTAGATGTGGTTGACATGATTTGCAGGTCTGAACTATCTTTTTTAGTTCTTTTATAGGAATCATTGGGAATCTATTATGTAGTCTTCTCCAATTGACATGGGTCATATCATGCAATTAAGTGGCTTCCTGTAGGGTTAGTGCATCTGGGGCTGTCACAAGTCTATCTGCCCATTCATTGTCCTTAGTCAGGAACCCTGGGAGGTCAGAGTGCCCCCTGAAGGTGTTGAAGGCAAATTGGTGCTTCTTGACCTCTAAAAGGGCCTTAAGAATCACCATGAGAGGGATATAGGGTTATTATCTAACCTAATGTGTGCTTGTGGGATATGAGGAAGTAATTTAACCACATAGAGACTGTCTGAAAAAAGACTGTAGGGCTTGGAGATGTCCTGTAATGCCAGCATCACAGCCAGCATTTCTTTATATTGGGAAGAACCTTGGCAGGGTTGAACTCTTTGGTGGCTTGGTGTTACTTGGTATCTCCTAAAGGAAATGTAGGCAGAGCCTGCTCCGGCCCCCATCAGTGAAGATGCAAATAGCTTCCAGGATGGGCTCAGATAGAAACAAGGAAGGCATCTTAAGGTGGAGTCTCTGTAAGAAAGGAGCCCATTTGGATGGTCCATAGTGGCAATCAATACTCCCCATAAATCCCTCTAAGGCATGAGCAAGGTGGGCATTAGCCCAAGAAAGCCATTCAACATCCACCACCTGGAGGGGGAGGACAGTGGTATGGGGGTCTAATCCATAGTGTTGCTGGGCTTGGGTCCTGTCCGTTATGATGGTGTCAGTGAGCTGATCTGTCTGAGAGTAGACCCAGAGTGTTCCTCCCAAAGACGAATGGATCCACTCCAACAGCTCCCCATCTAGATTGGTCCAGCACATTAAGGTCACTGTTTCTCTTGATCGGGAGTTACCTCCCACATCCCCCAAACCGAGGACCCAGGTACAAGCTCCCAGGTGGAAGACATTTCCTCCTTGCAGAATACTGTCCTGACTGCCTCTGTGTTTACCAAACAACGAAACTATTTAACACCTATAAAACCCATTTGAACAAAGCCCTTCAATCAAGGGGACAGTCCAGAAGGCTTGTATTGTCAGGGTATAAGACCTTCCAATCCTACCTTTAGAGAGGCTTCCTCCATTTTTTTTAACAGGGCTGGAGGCTGCTCCTCTAGTTTAAAGGCTTCCCCTCCAGGTCAAATTTTGAAATATAGTCCTTCTTCCCACACCGAGGGCATGGGGTAGAAGGGGGGCTTAGCCCCTCCTGGCCTGTTAGCAGGAGGGGGGTTGTTGAGGACAGTCTCTTTTAAAATGTCCCTCCTGACCACATCTAAAGCATGTCCCCTTTTCCAGAGGCCTCGAGGACCCTAGACCCTGGGTTACCAGGGCCTGGGTGATGGCATCCGTCATGGTGGTCATCTGTGCCTGTAAGGCCAGGGCCAGAGACTGGGATTGGTGTTGCTGGGTACCTACATCTTTGGAAGCTACCATCCATCTGCTCAGGGTGGTCTTTTAATCCCGTGGAGGCCATTCTAGGTCCCCATTCATCCCTTCCCATACCAGCAGTCTGATAAATTGTTCTCTGAGGTCCCCTGGTGGGAGCTTGCTCTGAGTGTGCTGTTGGACCCTATCTATAAACTCTGGCAAGGGCTCACTGGACTTCTGCCTCACCCCAGCTATGGGGAACTCATAGGCCCATCATCCAGTTTGGCCCAGGCGTTCAACCCTGCCTGCCACACCTGAGTTAGCTGGGTTAGTGGGGTTAGCTTGCCTATTTGCCTCAGCTCGTACCCTACATTCCTCCTTATAAAAGGCACAGCATTTGATAAACTGAGAACTAGGGAGGACTGACTGCCTTAGCCACATCCAGCCAGTCCTTGGGGACGCACAGGTGGCAGGCGATGTCCTCAACAGGGCCTGTGTGCAAGGGAATTAGGGCCATCTTCCGCCACTGCCTGTGAAGGGCTCTTTAAGATGCTGGCCTCCCAAGGATACCAGTCTAGAGGCCTGCCTGACCCGGGGGCCAAGTTTACCAGTTAGGCTTGGGGGACCCTAGTTACATCCTCCAGTCCCTCCTTGATTGGGCAGGCTTCTACATAAACCAGGCCTCCAGAAGCCGAGTGGTGTCCCTCAGTGTGCTACAATATCCTGAGTAACTAAAATGGAGAGGGGAGAGCTCCCCAGAAAGCCAACAGTGGCTTCATGAATCCAGCCTTCCACGTGCCTTCTCATGAGCCTCCTTCTGGCAGGAATGCTGTGATTTTGACCCAGATGGCATGTTTCTTGCTGTCTTTTGGTTCTTGACCATTCATGCCCACGGGGAGAAAGGTGATGCAGACAGCTCTTAAAGCAGGGCCAGCCCACCTTCCAAGGTTATTTTTTTCACACCTGCAACAGAATCACTGCTCTCCTGTGACTTTCTCCACAGAGGCACTAATTTTGCTCCCTTCCAACAACTGCTAGGATTTCTCTGTCTGTGCTCACATCTGGAGCCTGTGACAGTGGAGGTCCCCTTCCTCTTTGTTTTTATCCATTGCTTGGCAGCAGGTGATGAAACACAGTAAGTGACTAGTGAAAACAGCCCTATTCAGCGACCCCAGGCGATTGTACTTCCTTTTCTCTCCCCTCATTTGCATGAAGATGCTTCCAGGATCACCTTGGGATTTCCCATGCCCTGGCATACCGTTTAAAAATGAAGCCCATCCATGGAGATGCCCATTCATATACTCGGGAACAGAAAGGGGGGAATAATGAGAGCTGCCATATCCGAAGAGTGCGCATGTGCCAAGGGATTCTTGCTTGTTACCTCTCATCTTTACAACAACTCCAAGGGTGGCATCCTTATTCCGCAAATGATGAAGAGGCTCAGGGATTGCCAAGGCTCGTGAGCCGCAGAGCTGGGATTCAGCACCACCACCTCTGCAGCTTAAGCTCTCTCCTCTCGGACACACGGCTGTGCAAAAGCAACTGGTCTATCTCAGCATGCTGAGGGTCTCTGAGCTTCAGTCAGTGTAGACGATATCAGTATCCCAAAGCCAATCCACAGCTAACCAGAACAATCAGTAGCCACGGGGCCCGCAGCCCGGAGTGCAGGAATCTGGTGCACGCCCAGATCCTTCCAGGGAGCATACCGGCAAGATGATTAAGAACGACTAAAAAGAAATCTAAAAAGTGCTACCACTGGGAGTGTAGGGCCTGTGTGTGAAGATCTCTGCGTTCCAAACTGCACGCCTGTGAACTTGAGCAAGGAACCTAGGTTCTCTGAGCTTCAGTTTCCACACCAAATGGAAAGGATGAAAGACACTGTTATACAGGCCTAGAGGAAGAATGTACTGAAACAAGGATGTGCTGTGTGTGACTTCTGTGCAGAGGAAACCCTGGAGAAATGATAGACAGTGTTGTCATTAAGAGACTTGGTGGAGGTGGGGGCACTTTACAAATGACAAAATGTTCATCTGGTGTCTACAGTCATTGCTTTCCCCCGAGCTGTCCATCCGTCTGGTCCCAGCCTGCAACCCTGTTTTTTTTTACCTCCTAGAATCTCGTTTTGGGTTCTGGAAGCATGGTTTATCACCGAAAAGACATTTCAAGGTAGCCCACCCGGGCACATCACCTTGCAGGGCAGTTGTAAGGAGTACAGCAAAATCCAGGCAGTGAGCTGCAGTTCCCGTTTTCTCCCCAGGATTTGGGATAGCAAATCAAAGAAGTACTAGCAGCAAGCTGCCTGGATCCATGCAGGCAGACTACAGATACACATGCTACCTTTGAGCACAGAGTTGAGCCAGAGCTTTCTAATGGAGGGCTGGGGCCACGCCATGGGCCACCCTCAACACTTGGGTCATCCTAACCGGTAGAACCACGGGGGCAAAGGACCCCACCATAAATGACAGGTTGGCACCGACAAGTATGCAAACACATGTCTGGTGTGGTTTTCTGGCCCTTACTAAGGATAAGCGCTGTCATCATCATGGATGTTTGCAGATTACTAAACTGAGGCTTGGAGTTCAAAACGTCTCAGAAAGGGCAGGGTTTTCATCCAATCATCCTGGGCACATGTTTTCTTGAATTGCATTCTGCACCTGTCCTTGTTAGTTAGGAACCTGATTTAACTGGTGCCTCGAGGGATGGGATTTCAGACAAACCCTTTCAGGTGGAAGGGTGTATACCTAGTAACACCCTAGCAGAGTGAATATTTGCATGTGTTCTTGCGAACTCAGCTTGGCAGTGCAGCGAGATGAGTCAATTCCTGCCTGCCTCGGCTGTCTGGCTCCTCGCTGTTTTTGTTTAGACAGATTATAAGCACTGAGCAGACAAGGAAATTAAGGGGGAAACATGCTCAGTCCCCAGTGATGGGAAAAACAGGAGCGCTGGCATGGAAACAGGTCCTTTCCCAGCCCAGAGCCCCGCCCCACCCCCATCCATCTCTGCAGACCTTGCACTCTGTGCAGTGGACATCGCTCTTCAAGCAGACCCCCCACAGCCCCCGTGACCCCTTCCCGCTAAACTGTTTCCTTTCTGTCGTCAGGTAACCTGGACATCACTCCAGATGACCCGCGCTGGATTGGAGCCTGGTGGGGCGGCTTTCTGCTCTGTGGTGCCTTGCTCTTCTTCTCGTCCCTCTTGATGTTTGGGTTCCCACAATCCCTGCCCCCACACTCGGACCCCGCCATGGAGAGTGAGCAGGCTATGCTCCCGGAAAGAGAATATGAGAGGCCTAAGCCCAGCAATGGGGTCCTGAGACACCCCCTGGAGCCAGACAGCAGTGCCTCCTGTTTCCAGCAGCTGAGAGGTGAGGGGCTGACCTGGGCGGTCAGAACAATGGGGACTCTGGGACGGGGTGAGGGAAAGGATGGCCACTGGGGGATTTCAGAGTTTTACATAATTAGCCACACAAACCCCATGCTTAACTTAGGACCAGTCGCGCTTAATGAAGGCAAGAATAAGGTCGTTGCCATTTATTAATGAAACCCTGGTGGTTAACATACAAGAACCTCACTTTGGGGTGTAGCAAGGCTCTAAACTTTTTTAGAAGGGAAAAAAAGAATGCAGCTTTTCTGACAAAATGGCAAGGTGCAGATAATGATGTCAATCAAGAAAGGTTTTTCCTGGGTTGTTTGTACCCTCAGCAAGGTCCCTTAAAAGCATAGAAAATGACAGGGAAGGTGAAGATAGCCCAGCAGCCTCAGGCTGCTCCATGCCTGGCACACACACACACACACACACACACACACACACACAGATAGAAACATACACACATATACATACATACATACAGACAGACATACACAGACACACACACACACAGAGAAAAACAAACATACACACAGAGAGACACACACACAGAGAAACACATACGCTTACACACACACACATACACAAGCGTGTGCACGAACACTCACACATACCCCCCTAGGATGCTACTTGTGGCCTTCCCTAACCAGGGCACCTGCTGGAGCTTTGACATGAGCAGTTGGCTACAGGTGCCTGGGCATGAGGTAGGCTGGCATACCTCCTCTCAGAGAAGTTGGGATGGAAGGACGATGGACAGACAGTTATCTCTTGTAAACCAGCAGCCACATGGGCCACATTCCAAGGCACCATTCAACATTGCCCAGAGGTTAAATCAAAGTCAAGGTGGGTGCTTATAGGATGAGATGCACCTGCGCCGTGTGCTTGATAGCCACAGGCTTTCACAGACCCCGTGATCCTTCACTGTCTCACTCCACGCTGGCTGTAAGGTTCATTCTCCCCGCCATGTTTCCACAAGTGTGAGGCTGTGCACAGTTCTACCATCACAGCGGTGGCCTGAGAACAAAAGCTCTGCCTGCAGACACTTAGTCAAACCCGTGAGTCTGTGAGGATCCGAACGAACCTGTGCTATTTCTGAAAAGACACTAATTTAATAACCTGATGTCAGGTCTGGTCCCGTGTTCTCTGTCGGTATCTACAAGTGCTGTGAGCAACTGATGGCCTTAAAATTCCTCTTTTTGTTCTCTGAATGGTGAGAAGTCCAGCTGGTGTGTGTCCTTGGAGGTTGCCTTAGCTGGGACCACCTCCTCAATAAGGGTGTAAATTACCTCTACCTTCAAAACTGGCAGATTCCCCGAAGTCCCCAGCCAACTGGAGGGTGATGCCTGCTGTTATCTTAAGAGCACAGTTGACTGTAATCCCAGGCCCCAGACCCACAATAATCCATCAGGCTGGCATCAGAGTAGGTCTGGCAAGAGAGGACCCTAACCCCCAGTACTGGCAACCTTTCCAGATCTTTATTTGTCCAGGTGATAGTTTTGTCTCCCACAAACCACAATTTTAAGCTCTCCCTTTCATCTCTGGGTGTGCACGGATAAAAAAGAAACAGCTAGGCCGTTAAGACCTCACCAGCAAGCCATCAAAGACAGCCAGTGGTACAGGGAGTGACAGACCTGTAGTGGCCAAGGAGGGTAAACGGCGGGGCTCAGCTGGGTCTTGAGCTACGGGGCTGTCAAAGTTTCAGAGTTCTTGGCATGTGGTGCACCTGCCCTGTTTCATCTACTCCACTCAGATAGTCTACTCCTGCTAGGGGCTGGGAACATGGCCGTGTTTAAGTGGCTTATGTCCTAGACCTTATAATTCAATATAGCAGGCATGCCACAAGAGAGGACAAAATTAAAGTCAAGATGAGCATTGAGCAGTTGGCCTGGGCTGAGAAGTACGCATTGGGTCAATAGGTCTGGAACTCACTAGGTCAGAAGTGGTTCAAGCATGGTATCTGTGTGAACACACTTCCACGAGTGATGATTTTTCGTTTACAATGAGAAGTTCCTGCTTAGTTGGGCCACCAATGGACTAGACTAGAAGATACTCCAGCAGGGCAGGACAACTGTTTCTTCAGAAGACTTCCCAAGAGCCGGAATTCAGTGACATGAACTATTGTGCTAACAGACAATCATCCAGGTACACAGAGAATGGCCCACTGTATTTACTACATCCATTACCTTCCCGCAGCCCCATGAGCTAAGTGTTTTTGCCACAGGAGCACGTTCACCAAACACACCCTTCAGTGCTGCTAGTGCTTCCATACTAGCTCTTCATCCAAGTCTCAAAAATAAACACACACACACACACACATACACACACATACACACACACACATACACACACATACACACACACATACACACATACACACACATACACACACATACATACACACACACACATACGCACATACGCACATACACACACATACACATATACACACACATACACACATACATACACACACATACACACATACACACACATATACACACACATACACACATACACACACATACACACATACATACACACATACACCCACATACATACACATACATACATACACACATACACACACACACACATACACACACACACACACATGATGTCAGAAGCCCTGGGGGTCTCCAGGATGTTCTTGAGCACAAAGAAGTGGAACACTGTCAGATACACACACCCCTTCAGAAACCACTTTAAACAAAGTTTTTTACAGAGTCTAGGTGTTTCACATCCCCATCCCACCTATTTCCCACCCCGTCCATGTACAATCTTTACCCTTGCAGTGTAGTCCCCCGAGAAAACGAAAAGGTATCTCAATGAATTAAAGCCAAAGGAAAAAAGCTCGGATCCTCCGTCTTTCCCTCCTCTCCAGCATCTCTCCATTCGTCTTAGTGGCCCTGGGCACTGTGGTGTGTCGCACAGTATACCCATTTGTTGTCCAGAGTCATGGAGATCCTGCAGCGATGGTTCTGCAGGAGCAGTCCCTCCGTGAACTCCAGCAGGTCATAGGTAGGGTAGATGCTGGGGTGGGCCAACTCAAAGCACTGGGTGTGGGCCTGGGGAGTAGCTGAGTTGATCAGTCTGAGCCTCCACTGGGACTGCCTCCCTCAGGCAAGGGGCGGAGTCAGCTCTGCTGCTCCCACACTATTGGGGTCAACTCTTCTACACCTTTGATGTAGCCTGGGCCAGCTCTCCCATGAGGGGTGGGACCAGCTCTCCTGCAACAGTGGCCAACAAGGGACAGGGCCAAATCTCCAAAGGCCAGCAAATGGCGAGCTCGGCTCACCATGGCCCTGAAGTTTTAACACATAAATGTCCAGGATATCAACAAGGACCCCAAATACAGCAGGACCACAAACTCAGATATGCCCTTGGCAGTAGCTTAGGCCTGGATGTCACCATGGTCCCAGGTGGCACAGGCCATGCTCAGAAAATCTGTCTGTAGCAGCCACACCATGCAGCCTTCCCCGGTTCCTGGGAGTTATATGGAGTAGCCTGTCTGGAGTGGGACATCCTGAGCCCCAATTCAGCTCAGCCACCTCCCCATTGTGACACCTTGGTCATGACATTCAGCTCTACTTGGCTTTAACATGGGGATCTGGTTTCATCTTTACAGCCGCTGCCCCGGGTTAGAATCGCTATTTATCACCGCAGATGGGGAGCTTTCCCTATAACCATATGGGAGTTTAGGTCTGTGGTTCAGTTTTCAACGGACATCCTTCCCTGCAAAAAGGGACAGGTTTTGAAGGTCTGTTGCCAACAAAGCCAGCCGTTGGCTGTTTGTTACTCTCCGTAGAAGATGAGGGATGGAGCGCATGGAATCTGATTTCAGAATAGCCTGCAAGTCCCCCAGCTTGTAGCAACTGTCACATAAGCATTTTGATAAAGCAGACAAACAAATGCTCGGGTTTATTAGGCTGCAGGGTCGCCCCTAGGTGGGAGGCTGCCCAACCCGGGCACAGTGTTGGATCTCAACATGCCACCCGATCTCTTTGCTTCTGAGCCTCGGCCCTGAGTTGCTTCTGTTCTCATGGCCTCACACTTGAGATGTCCCCACTGTCCCCTTCATCCTAGGGCCTGGTACTCGTCTTCCCTCCCCTTTCCCGTCGGTAGGGTATACATTGGCACGTGGACCCAGTAGCTGTACAGTGTGTGCAGAATTTATGAAGGGCTCCCTAGAGGGGAGAACAGCTCCGTGAGAGTGTAATAAATAATCCAGGGACAGTCAGGTGGCTCATTGGATAAAGGTGCTGGCTGCCACGCCTGACTCCATCAGCTTGATCCCCAGAACTCACATGGTAGACAGAAAGAACTGATTCCTACAAATTGTCCTCTGACCTTCACATACACGCCATGGCACACTTGCTTATGCATGTGTGTGGACACACAAATAAATAAACGAAAAGCAGTCATTTTTATAAAATAAACACTCGGTGTTATTATCACTCTCATGTTAAATCTCACACTCACAGTTTTGTTAAGTCTCACACCCACAGTTTTGTGATGGACATTTGTGATGGACATAGGCATATTTTCACAATGGACGTGTGTAGTGCTTTCAGTTATGCATTCGATGTTGCTTCTACAGTTTTGCTTTTCGTTTTTCAGTTGTCTCAGAGAGCACCTGGGAAGTCTTGATAGACAGGATGTGATCTGGCCCCCTTCATCAGCTTGCTTTGTATGACCTGTGCAATGAGTGCCTCAGGAACACTCCCTCTTTGCTCTTCTTTTTGCTTGGAATATCCTTCCTCCCTTGATTACCTTTTGAGCTGTCTCTGTTCTTCCCTCCTCAGAAAGTACCCCTTTTTGAGTGAGCATGTCACACACACACACACACACACACACACACACACACGCACACGCATGCATGCACACACACTGTCCTTCTATGTGCATGCCCCATTGTGTTCAGGACAAGGTCGGCTTTATGGCCCTATCATCCACTTGGCCTCTGCAAAGCCCCTACTACTACATTACCAATATAGTCTG